AATAAGATGGAGAAATAAGCCTGGTCTTACAACTAGAAAAAGGTTGATTTTGAGGCTGTTCTATCTGAAGACTGTCAGTTCTTTGGGCCATCCATGAAGATATGAGAGGCATCATAAACGGCAGACCTGGCAGCAGGATGATCAGTCTTGACACAATTATGGAAAAATCTTCAGGCATCCATGACCATCCATTGCTGACTCAGGGGCACACAAGACCCTCAACTGAGTTTGTTCATGAAAGAGAGAGAATCAAAGTAAAACCAGATCCTTTGGCATCTTTTTCAGCAAAACCAGCCCTGGCCATTTGGAAAGTAGCATTTCCATGAGGCTTTGCTAACAGTACATCCTTCCATGGACAGTGGGAAATACCCTGTGTTATATTAAGGAACTTAGCACTTCTACTGAAACCAAAGTCTGAAGAACCAGCTGAAGTCTTCAGGTTGTCAGCAGTAACATCTAAATACACCAGCCTCAAACCTATTCTACATTTGAACTTTAAGTTTAGAACAGAAGAAGAGAAGCATGCTTTCAAGGATAAAGCTATTGATGACATTTACTGTCACCTCATGCTGTTGTTTTAATGGCATATGCAATGCACAAGAATCTTACAATGCTCTGCCAAAGAGGATTTACAAAACATCCTTCTCTCTGAAGCGCAAATTGAAAAACATCACTCTAAAAATTGCTGTGTAACAACTCAGTGTCTCCTATATCAAATCACAGTGTAAAAACATGCTTTTATGTTTGTTGCTATCTGTTCTCAACAAATTCTATACTAAAGGTAGCTAACTTCTTTCTGCTCTCTCTTACAGTAAGAAACAACAAAAATACTGTTTATTATTATAAGTTTAATTCCATCTTTTTTGAAAGTCTTCTGTCCTATTATCTTTCAGCAGTAGCTCACAGGCAGGATAAAGAATAGAATCTGACTTCAAGAAAGAAATAAAACTTACCATTAAATAGCCTTCTCTAAGATTCACAGTCTATAAACAAATATGTTCTGGGGGTTACACCTGCACCTTATCACTCCAGAAGGCAGAGTACTTTCCTTCTGCAGTAACTATGGAGGATGCAGTCATACTGCTGTCACCACCTCTGGCACAACAGTATAAAAAACAAAGTATGCCATAAACAATTTTAATCCTTTCTTAGCCACAAAGTCTAAAATAGTGAAGGAAGTTCTGCTAATAGAATTCAGGTTGTCTTATTTTTTTTTCCCCCCATTCTCAAATTAATATCTATATATTTGTTCCTATTATGGATCGTTAAACAACTATCTGCCATAAATTATTTAGCAAAGGACCTTGATGTCCCTCATGCAAACTGCCCTTCTAGATTGACTCTACAAACTGCTATGGCAGCTCTTTGAGACAGTTCAACAGACATGGCACAGTGCCTGGGGAAACAATGACAGATATACAACAGTTTAGAAAGCCAACAGCATCACAGAAGTTGTATAAGCTCCACTGGAAGTATCAATTCCAAACTGCAGCACCCAACCATTCTTTTAGGTAACTGCTGGATCTGTTAGAAATGCCCACAGCCTATAAAATTTCTGAGAAAGTCTGGACCTACAAATATAAAAAAAAGTTCTTTTGCTATTAAAAATACAAAGGAATGAGTGCTTCTTAGAAGCAGAAAGGGATGTGAAGGAAAACATAAATAAATCAAAGTGACACTATCTCCAGTAGCAACGATGTCTGCATCTAAGAGATGATCTGTCCTTGAAGAATAAGGTCAAGGAAGGAGCAACCAGAGGGGTATGAATTTGTTTCATTTTACAAACAGAGATGACAACAAAGAAAGCTGCCTTTATTCTGAAGGAGAATCCATGATGGCAAGGAACAACAAATTCAAATTCCAACTGCTCACTGACTTGGCAGAAGGAAACACCTTGATAATCTTGGAGCTCAAGGCTGAGATGGATATTAAGTTGACTCGCATGGAGTGCAGGTGAACTGGAACTTCATGACACAAATGTGAAGCTTCCAGTTCTTTGGACTAGTCCTTGTTTGAATCTGTTTCCCAAACAGTGTCAGACCTTTCAGACTGGACAAGGCAAAAGGTAATCCTGAAATAAATCCCTGACAATTACATGAACAAAAAAGAACTTGATTGGTATCTGTGGAGCAGTGAATTAGTTGCAGGATATCTTCTGTCACAGATAATGTTCTAAAAACAAGAGAAGATGGGTGAAGGGCAGGTACCATAACAGCAAACATCCCCCAAAGCTGATAAGATACACATGAACCCAATTGCAACTGCAAGAAAGAGTTTTAAAAAAAAACAAACAGAAGAACTTAGAAGATTTGTTTTGTGGAGCAGGAGACTCACTTATGCACTCTTTTTTTTTTTTCACTTTTCCATACTATAGAATAGTAAAATAACTGTAACTTTTTTTTCTCATTTTTTTCTCCTTTTCCATAGAAAATCAGAGACCAGCTCCCAGAACTTGCAGGACAAAGTTGCTGAGAGGCCAATTTCTCAGCTTCAGATAATGCTCTAGTATAAGACAGATTAGTATCTCATGTCTCAGGTGAGCAGTGAGGATATAGTGCAGCATTCTGGCTCCCCCAGTGGTCACAAAATGATTTAGTTACACTTAAACAGGAGGAGAAATGTCACTATGTAATTTTGTTTCTCAATTTCAAAGTGGTAATTTGCCAAATAGTATTTTAGAAAATAGTCTGAACTCAGGGATGTAAAAATAGTAGCGTTGTCAAGTTAAACATCACTAAACATGAAGTATACTCCAGACCAAAGTATCTTATTTAAAATTTTGTTACTAATTAAATGCAAGAAGGAGGCCAAACTGGTGGCACCTCTTGATGACTTGAAGTTGAGACGTGTATTTATTGCAGGAATTAATGAGGATACCACACAGAAGGACAGAGATACCTTAATGCTGAAGATTAACTGAAACAGGTTATAATTCAGAAGTGCAAGGTAATGCATTTCAGAAACACTAACAGTTATCACTGTTATCATCTGGTGGTGTCCTTAGCTGAACATGATAAGCAGAAGAAAAATGAAAATACTTGTAAAATATGATTGTGAGCCACAAATCTAGTATGTCTGTGAATACACGTGATTCTAGGAGACCACAGCCAAGTATGTCAGCATGGAATGGAAAGTACCTATGCCATTGTGCAAGGTCCTCACAAAGCAGCATTTAAAAGCCTGCACACAATTCTGCACAGAAGTATTAGGAAAGGGAAATTCACACCATACCAGGTGGGGTTATCACAAATCCAGGGGAAAAGAAAAGTTGAAACTGCCTTCTATGAAGTGACTTGGAGAGCTTGGGTAGATGATACTATTTATCAAAATTGAGACAGAAATATAGCAGTGATTTATGAACTCACACCAGTGAGTCCAGTGGGAGGCTATCGTGCTGGTGAGGGGCTGGAGCGTGTGATAAGAAAGCCTGAGCAACTGGGTTTATTCAGAGAAGGCTCAAGGTAGACTTACTTGCAGCCCAACAGAAGGACAGATGAGACAACAGAGCCTGACTCCTCTAAAGTGTGGACAGATATAATGAAAGATGTTGTTGGAACATGGGAAATTCTGACTAGAAATATTTTTTTATAGAAATAGAAATAATTATTTTACTTATTTTTAATCATAAGGATTCTCAAACGTGCTTAGAGAGAGTGTAGGACCTCCATCATTGGAGGGTGTCCAACATTCCAATACTCAGCAACCTGGTAACCCAATTTGATTAGATCTGCTTTGAGAAGGGGCTGGACTAGATGAACTCCAGAAGTGCACTTAAAACCCAAATAATTCTACAATTCTATAAAAAAGTATTAAAAAGCAAAAACAAAAATAAAACAACAACAAAAAGAATAGTTAATTATAGGGAGCAAAAATGATTAAGCTTCCAATCAGAACATTTCTTTGATTTAAGGGCAAAAAAACCCAATTACCTTTAAAATACAGTTAGATCTAATTATGAAAGGGAGTGGAATGAAAATGACTGGACTATCAACCCTGAAGGAATCATGTGCCTATGCTCTATCTTGATGCCCAGTTCTGATGACTCTGTATTTCCAAATAACTGATGAAATTCTTACATAAACTCACAGATCAATAAAGGGATATGTATATTAAAAAAAAAAAAAAAAAAACAGCATCTTTTCATCAGTATAAAATAGTCAAAAAACATAGGAAAAAAAAATCTCTGGCAACCACAGCAAAAGAGCAGCACGCTCAGCCCCACACAGGAAGTGGCTCTCAGAATGAGAGCACTAACTCTTAGAAGTATGTAGGACATGCTGCCATCTCCCACCATCAAAGTAATTCATCCTGCAGCCAGCCTCTGAGCAACAGTCAAGTAGTGGACCCACTGGTCCTCCTGCAGAATGAGTTGGCCTGGGAAACTAGATTTTTCTACTACAGAAAACACATAAAGTTTCTATATTGAGTTTCTGGGGATGTTTCTCTGAAGTCAAAGAAAAAACACTTCTCTGGGTTTCATAATGATGTGTATTATTCTATACAAAAAAAAAAATTCCTTAGCAAAGGTTTTATTTTGTTGGTTTAGTCCTCCTTGTCCAGCACAGAAAGCTTCATGCTTGCTTCAGTTGGATAAGTTTCCAAAACATATGGTCATATTCTTTACACATGACATCATGAAAAATGGATGAAAACTGACTATACCAGTTTGGAGAATGGTGTTTTGCACTTCTCATAAGGGTTGCTGCTTCTAAGTGGCTGGAAAGATTAACAGATGTTTCTGATAAAGCCTACTTGCCATGTGAAACAGAGCTTTCGGCTGCCTCTCTAGTGCAAGACTATAAAATGTCTGGAGACCAGATTGGGACAGATTATTCACAAACTGCCTTTGTCATCACTCAGAGAAGGACTGTTTCTGGCTTGAAATATTTCATAGATATTTATTGTATTCTGAAAACTTCATTTTATTTCTAACTTATTTACAGTTAAACATTCAGAATCATAAAATATGAAGTATAAAATATTTAACAAAATAGATGCAGTTCATGTTGTTCAGATGCACCATAGATTTATGATGAAACAGTAAACAGCAAAGGAATTTCCTGACGGTTGTGTCTCTCATTTACCAGGGCAGATCTGCCCTATACATTCTGATCTGATCAGTATGGCATCAAATTCTCATTTCAGAGACCACCACCATTCTGGTTCCTATGTCCTCAGTATGTCTTCCACAGTTACGTTCACTGTCTGAAATGCAACACTGTAATGTTCAATACATCAGATACCCTCTAAAGTCGGCATATTCAATACTTTTTTTTTTTTTTTTTTTTTAATATAGACTTTCTAGAAAAGAAGAATCAGGTAATTCAGGCAATATGAACAAAAGAGTCATTTATTATATATATATTCTCTAGTAACTTATAATAGTCTCTTGGATTTTAAATGTCTCTTTGCTATTTTCAATGCTTAAAAATTATAATTTTAAAACATTAAATATTGTGTTATGTACATTATGATTTCATTTTTCATTTCTAAATATGGAGCATTCTCCAAGTGAAAACTTGGATGAAACAGAAAACAACTTCATTGACATAACAGACTTTAAAAGTTCACTTCATACAACCATAGGTTTGACTATATGAAAAATAGCCAAAAGTCAATTTGCTCCTCCACGGGATTTTTTCCGTTTGTTTTTCTGGTCATGGGAAGAGGGGATTTTTTGGCTTTTGTTTTTGTATAAACGGAAGGACAGATCTGGTCAGCACTGTTGCCAGTGTTCAGTATTTTATCTTGTTTTTAATCGCTTACCTATTTTATATAAAATAACAAAATATACAGAGAGAGCTGGATTTGTTACATTAGTTCATACACATAGAGTAAATAAAAGTTTTTTTTATGTATGGCTTTGCAAAGGTAGATTATGAAGTGACTTTTGTATTTTATTTGTTTAAAAGCATTTTAAGAGAACGTGTTAGTGTGCTTACAATAGCGGCCATGGTAGTTGAATGTCGAGCCAAGAGTTTAATGCTAGGATCACTGGAGGTCTTGCCTGACACGGCTTCTGCAGCCTTCAGAAGACAAATGTAGTTTATTACAACCTCATCTATCTTAGCTATAATTTCCTGCTGCTGAGTTTCAGAGTTCATGACTTTAACTAAACGCATGCAGGCTTCTGTTAAGCAACAGAGTACTTGAAAGCTGGAAGTCATAGCTAAAAGCATTTCCTCAGGGCTTTTATCAGCCATGGCCATTTTCCTGCAGGCACTTCCCAACTGTCTAGATTCCATAGATAACAGTTGTTTGTATTTAGAAAGTTTAAGGTCATATGTTTCAGGATGTAAATCTTCTCTCTTGCCCATGCTTGCTCGGACCAGTGAGAGTAACTCATTGGCATCCTTTTGTGCTGCAATAAATCCATCAGGCATTGCATACGTCTTCTCTTTCATCACATTTATTTGTGTGATTCGTGCATCAAAGGCCACATCATTGAGATTCACATCAATTTGGCCACCTTGAGTGTCAGCACTGCTCTTCTCATGTTCATTAACTGCCTCGTCTTGTGGGAACTCAGCAGCTTTTGGGGACTCCAAGTCTTTCTCATCATTTTCACTAGAAAAAGACTGACTGGCTGGTTCTGCGAGCTCACACGCGATCTCCGGTTCGAAGAGACACGAGAGCTGATGGCTGTCTCCATCATCTTCATCATCATTGTCATCATTTCCCCTGCTCAGGAAGCAGTAGCTAAAGGGACCACGGCACCTCCAGGTGCTGGTGTCCAGCTTCCGCAACGGCAACGCTCGACACTGCTTGGAGTGCTTCTGACTGGTGCCTGTGCCCGAACACCTCTTACTGTCCTTCCTATCAGTGCTGACATAAACACAGCTCTGGGAGAAACTTTTTGACAGCTTTTTGCCCGGAGAGAGTTCTACCTTTTTCTCGGATCTGGATTCTTCTCTTTGTGTAATATCCAGGCTTTTCAAGCTGGCTGTGCCTGCCTTACTTTCAACCAGCATCTCAATGTCTGCAGATCCTCCAATGATGCTGCTGCTGCGTCTCAGCACTTTCCTGTTGTGCGGCATCCTGAGGCTTCCTCCTATCATGTCATATGGCCGTAAACTAACTGTCGCCCCATAAGCCTGATTTACTTTGGGAATGTCACAAGAGTCTTGATTTTGACTTGGCACCTTTGATTCTGATAGCATGGATGATAGCATGATGGAGTCAGCTAGAGGCTGTCTAGGAAAAGCTGCAGGCATGCCTCCTTGTCTTCCCTTTTCAGGCTCTGTGAAAGCTACACTAGGGGTAGTAGAAGAGCAGACAGAATAATTAAGCATCACCCTGATAATATTCAGAGATGAAGATTTTAAATATCTTTAATAGTAGGGTAAATTGATTGCTGGTGTTTTCCAGTGGTCTCAGTTTCTCAAAGTATTTCACAAAAACAGGCATTTCTAGTTCCTCATGTCTTTTTTATTTCACTACAATGCCTTCCAAAATCTATCAGCAAATTTTAACTTAAGAATAGTTAACTGTTCATCCTATTACAGCACACATTGAAAAAAGGGAACAGAAAATAATCTATAAAACTTCTTACATACTCCTCAACATATGAGCCGGTTGCTTTCTATTAAATAATTAAATGAATATTTTCAGTTTAAATACCTTCCTTAACTATGCCCAAGAGAGCATGGAAAAATGCATTCATGGTAATTTTGGTTTGTTATGTTAGAGTTTTTTTGGCAGAGAATTCACTTTTCTCATTCTTGTTTCTAGTCTGCTTCATTTTCAGATTTTCATGCATTCCCACACTACTGCTACATGTGGGCTGCAACTCGAGAAGAGGGAAATGTTTAAAACCCAACAGAAAGCATTTCCAGTGCTATCACTGAAAAACTGCACTTTTAAAAAACAATAAGTTCATTAAGACGCTCGAAATTGGAACTTCAAAATATAATGATTCAATATGTGCATTATTCTTAAAAGAAACACCTACTATCAGATGGTGAAGTAAATACATACTTGATATTGACTATTTCTCGCCTTTACGTTTAAAGTTTTTTACTCATACTGGCATGCTTCTGACAATCTGCTAAAATAGCAAAAAAGCATAACTGAAGCACAGTTTTTTCTCTCCTACATTAATACACCTTGTGAAGTCATCTTATAATCTAAAAAGTATCCTAGAACTCAAATGAATTTGAATTTTGGAGAGGCTTCCACAGAACACTTTCTCCTTTAGGCTTCTACATAACTACATCACAAATATTAGATATAAAATGTAGGAGACTTATTCTTAACTGTAATAGTTTTTTTAAAAAATTAGTATTTGTAAGCAGGTCTTAAAAACATCTCAACATGTATAAATAAAGTGAATACATACAGTAAAGTCTAATCTCACCACAAGCTACAGATTGTTGATGTAGTTTCAGGTAAACAGGATGCAAACCACACCTAATCTTCAACCTTAACATGCAGCTTTAAGAACAAACACAAGAAACGCTTTATTACTGCTGTACCTGTAGTTTCTTTTATCTTGGGGATCCGATGACATCCTTCCCTCAAAGTGCCGAACAGTGGCTCAGCATTAATTGCTGAATGCACGACAGGCACTGCCATCCTGTGACACACAGCTTCAGGCTGCTGATGCAGGTCCTTGTATGTTGTTCCATGGTTTGGATGAATGGCAGCTCTTTCATCTGCTGGAATATAGGCAATGCCCTTCATTGATGGGTCAGAGATAATGTGCTTAACGTCAGAGGTACAAAGGGGAGATTCAACGGGGGTAGCACACGTGCTACTGCCTGTGCTGCATCCTGCATCCACCGAAGAGCACTGAGAGCTTTGGAGCGAGAAATGGCCTTCGCTTTGCAGAGATGACATGCGCTTAGCCAAGTGATATTCACAAAGTCTAGCCACACTCTGCTCAGCTTCTGGAAGCTTTGAAGGATGGTCATCTGCAGATAAATCGGTATCTTCTACATCGTTTAGGTCTTTGGCTGAAGACACAGGAGTCATATCTGACAAAAAGTTTTCACCTTGGCTAAGCCCTGAGGTGTCGTCCTGATCCACCTCAGGATCCACTTCATCCTTACAGTCAGTTTCTGTTTTACCACGGACAGGAACTCTTGGAAAAGTCTTCCCGTTTGCTGTTTCTGGGCTTGGCTTATCTGCTGCCCCATCATCGGCACCATACCATCTTTGGCGAAAGGCAGTTCTCTCCACATTGAAAGTGCTTAGGCGTTGACTGTCTCTTGCTGAAATAGTTCCAAATTTAGCTTTTAGCTCTTCATCAGTCTCTGCTTTTTTAGTTCCCTGTTGCTTTTTCACAGTAGCGTTCCCATCAGAGGGTGCTTTTATTTCGCTCTCTGTCATCTTATTTTTCCTTTTACCAGTGCAAGAATATACCAAGGATCCCATGTGCAATTTGCTAAAATAATCAGTGACAGATTTTGTTTCCATGGTCTCTGGCTCCATTTCCATGTTATCTGAATGAAGAATCTGCTTTGAAGGCACAACTTTTGATTGCAGGTCTGCAGCCTGACGACCAGCCAAAGGCTGTGAGGATTTCATGCCTGGCCCTCCAGCCTGACTCTTAGCAATGGGGAATTCAGTCTGCTCTTCCACAAGAGGTTGGTAGCCTTCACTTGTGGTCAAAAACATGCGTGCAGTGTTTTCTGAGTGTTTCTGCGCTGCGGCTAATTCAGAACTTTCAGTCATTTCAGAGGAATTTGTTTCATTGCCAGAATCTGAAGATGACTCAGGGCTATATGCTCGCAAGATAGCTACACCTGCAAGCCACAAAAAATAAGAGTCAATTAATGACAGCAGCTGAAGCACCTGCACAAGTGACAAGCAAAGGCGTGTGTTAGAGACAAAAATATTCTTTGTAAAAATACTCTGAATTTATTGCACAGTTCCCAGGACAGGTAGCTTAACAACATTAACAGCAGTTCCATTACATAATACGGAATATGAAGTATGGAAAATGATGGCCAAAAAAAAAAAAAAAAAAAGGAAAACCAAAAACCCTCACAAAATGGAGCATTGGATGAGATGGAATGATTTTCAATGAATAAATGTAACTATGGTGAAAGAACCTGAATTGTCATTCGTCTGCTGTTCCTCTGAAGCAGCCAAAGCTTCTAGTGCTTGAAGTGTAGAGACTACAGCATCATCTAGCCCCTTTTCACACTTCCCCTCTGTATTAGTAGGGACAGCATCGATAAGCGACACTGGAATGTCATCACTGCCTAGATTACTGGCTTGCTCCTTGTCATCTCTAGGCTGCGTTGCTTGATTCTGAGAGTCTTCCTCATCTGAACTGTCCCTGAAGCCGGGTGGAGGAGCAGCAATGGCCATGTTTAACGTATGCAATAGGAAATCATCTTCATTATCATCACCTTCTGGAGGTGGAAGTGAAGTCAAATCAATAATGTCATCGCTAGAACCAGAAAGGCTGAGAAGAGCAGGCCTATTGATTTCTCCTACCATAATGTCTTCTTCACAGCTTACTTCATCTTCGTCTTCGGCATCATCTGTGTTTTCTGCATAACAAATATCATGCAGCAAAGGCTCTTCTATCCCTTCTGCAGCTCCAAATATTTTACCATCATTTATGGTTGCATAAACAGCATTTGTAGCAAACTGAATGCTTTCAGCATCTGGTGACAACTCCAGACCTTTAATGTCATTGGCATTATTAATATAAATGGCTCTTTGTTTTTCTAGTACTTCTGGACTTTCATCCAAAAGCCTTTCATAGCCAAGAGTCTGGGGATTGATACCATCCAAGTTGTGATCTCCAAATATAAAGGAAACTTTTGCTCCCCTGGGAGAATCCTGTGCTTTCTTGCTAGATTCCAAACCTGAGAGTGACAGTAGTGAAGGCTGATTAAAATTTCTACTTTCTTCTGCGTCAGTAGGGTCTTGCTTGGTCAGATGCTGATCAAATCCGCCTGAATTATAGGTATTTTCTATGTACAGATGTCTGTGTTCTTTTTGACATAACAGACTTTCAGAAACATCTATAGTTTTCTGTTTAGGATCACCAAAAGACATTTGAGTCTCTTGATCTCCTTCAGCCAAGAAAGTGGTAGTTTTTGGTACACAGTTCCACTCAGAAGCAAGGAGATTATGCTTCCCTCTATTTTCAATTCCTGCCACATGGGAGAAAAAAAAGAAACACTGTGAAAACACAAAGCAAGTTTATGCACTTTTTTAAACAATAACTTATTAATAGTGAGCAATGAACATTCTGAACAGGACAGCCAGTCCACCAAACACTTCACAAAAGCATTCTGAAGCTCACTTTTGCTCTGAGATAAATAGCTGTTGATTTAATGACCTAAAGTTTAACTATTGCTTTTGTACTTTGGAGCAAAACTAAACCATAGCTAGGTACAAATGCTATTCCAGGAGCAGCAACACAAAACCAAATTCTGAGCTGGTTTTCCCAACAGTGTATGTATTCTTATAAAGATATATTTATATAACACAGTAACATTCATAGGGAGCATGCATCTGTTTCACTACAGTTATGAAAGAAATTCATGCTATCAAAGGCTGGGTATCAGAACATCATAAAGCTGAACGAGTATGCTGTAGTGCCAAGTCTAAGGCAGCAGTCTTCCCACTTGGCATTTGTATTTGTCTGGAGTGCACTGGCTTAAGCTGACTTCTGCTTTACATCTGAGATCATCATTATCACACTGTGCAACAAATACCTGTTTCTCGGTTCCCTGGATTTTTCTTGTTGGCCATGTTGAATATGGAACGCCTTGAGTCAACCAGCAGTCTATAGTATCCAGCTGTTAGGCAAGCAAGGTTCATTGCATCTGATGACTCCATCAGTAGAGTAATAGGCTGAGAAGAATACAACCAAGTCTTGGTTAAGGCTGTTCCTTCTCAATCTGTTTACTTGCCAACTACACTACTGCATGGAATCAAAGGAAATTACACTGCAAACGCCACACTGAAAAATACACAACTTATTTTCCTCACTACTAGTATCAAGCAATACCAAATATATTAAGAGAGGAACTTATAAAAATAGATAAATGCTCAAAATGAGGGTGAAAAGAGCACAGAGTCAGGCTCTTTTCAGTAGTGCCTAGTGCCTGGGCAAGAGATGACAGGCAGAAACTGGAACAGAAGAGGTTCCCTCTGAACAGCAGGGAGCCCTTTGTGAGGATGACGGAGGACCGGGACAGGTTGCCCAGAGGCTGTGCAGTCTCCTCTTTGGAGATCTCCAAGAGCCATCTGGCCATGGGCCTGGCACCCTGCTCTGGGTGTCCTGTTGGGGCAGAGGCTGGGCCTGATGGACTCACAGGGCCTCTTTGTACCTCTATAACTCAGTGGTTTAGAAAAGACTGGAATTGGGATAAAGCAGAAGTCCAATTAGACATTTTAACAGTTGTCTTTCTGAATGATTACTTTAAGGCTCGGGTTCCATCTTTCTCTTGTTTAGATGTAAACAGAAGCACTGTTTACTATTACTTTGAAAATGCAAGGACTAAAAGCCTGGTACATTAGGGGCTGGACTGTTGCAGTAGTATGGGAATCGCTTGCCATAAAATCAGCTGTCCTAAGCCCATGTAAAGAAGAAAAATGGAAAAAAAATCAAGTTGAAAAAATACAGCAGTGAGGCTAAAGCTATTGATACACAGCTTCAGCAGTGAGTATTAAAATGAGATCTTAAAAACTTTCAGTATTTATGGCCTTGTGGCATTACTAAAAAGACATGCGATGAAAAAACAAGCAGACAAACAGAGACAGAGAAGAGAGAGTGACCCTTAGAAGGGAGGTCAGCACAGAAAATAAACTCAAAGCATTTAAAGAAAACAGTCAGATTTAACAGAAAAAATGCCATGGTTCTGAAAAACTGCATCTGACAGGCTAGAGAGAATTAAACATACAAAATTCGAGTGAAGCATACTCTCTTTTATTTGTTTTCCTTTTGCCACAGTAAAGAAAATAAACTTTTGTTCATGTTTCTGCAGACTTTAACACCAAAAGCTGCCAAAAAGCTCAAATTCCTTCTGAGGTGGCCAGCCCCCTGAACTCACAGAGGAAATAAAAGTTTCGAAGTCCTTACCATGACACATAGGTAGAAGTTACATGTAGACAAACATTATAGCAGTCACACAGTTTGTAGTGACTCACAGCTATGAGGACTTTTGCAACCTGAAGGCAACTGATTGTGATGGAGCTAATGGCCAAAACATAATTTATGTTCACAGCTTACCACCAGTCACAAAACTGCTGTATGAACAGTTTTCAGCAACATGAAAAAACAATGCATTTTGCTTTCTTTAAAGTATTCTGTGCTACACTATGAGGTTCTATTCAACACATGCTTCCTTCAAAAGAATTCAAAAACAGCTATAAAATTAATTGCAAATTATCAAACCTACAACAGGCTACTTAATATTTTTTCTTTTGGGTGACTACTTGAAATGCTATGAGTATTGATCTCAATTTTTCTGTAGTGATTGACAGGAACAGATAATCTCCAAAGAAGCCTCAGATTGCTGAAAAGAGTGCTGTGCATTGCTGTTAATCTGATGAACTGCCTTGTGATAACTAACTTTTTATTGGCTGCTTCTCCCAAGTGATTTATGGGTGAGAAGACATTACAAGAAATCAAAACAACTGCTTATTCATTATGAAAATGACATTTATTGGCATACTGAAATCTGGATATATGAACCCGATACCTTAGCGTATGCCAAGGTATGAAAACATCAGTTGAGAGTAACTACCTGTGTGTGCCCACGTTTACTCCATAAGCAACTGTTATATTCCATACTCATTTCCCCCACTTTTTTTTTTGGTCAAATTCAATCCAGGGCCTCCTAACTTTGTAATTTTGATGTTAAACTAATCTCTATGTGTTTAAGACTGAATGTGTTGAAAGGCACGGAGATGGGGATTTAGATGGGAATATCCATGGTTTTCAATAGGATAGTAACAGTATTATAACATTAAATATACATATATATATCATGTTAATATAAAATTCCATGGCATACAGTGCTACATTTTATTTGTAAGAAGATGAGAATAATTTAATTTCTGCATTACTTTCTCCATCAGAAAGAGGGGATAACAGCTTTCACTCAAGAGGTCTATGGGCTGTGTGTTTAGCACACTATTACGAGCAAAGAAGCCTGATATGCTCAAATTGCTAAATACAGTGAAAGAGATGCTGTGTTCCAGCCTATAAATTTCCATGAAGTTGCAGTCAAAGGGTATCTGTTAATTTATAGCAGTGTTTTTTCATTGACTTAAATACAGGGGAACACTTTCAGGTCAGTAAGCTGAAAGCATTCAAAGCAAAAGCTTAGTAAAACATCGCTGTGTATGTTTTTTTTTAAAATGTAAATCACCATAAGTAAAAAGGCTTACACAGGACTATTTAGGCTTATTTATTTTAATAGACTCTATTTATTTTAATAGTATATTTAAGTTTCAAATATAATGAGAACTCTTCCTTTAATCTCTTATCATTGTGGTTAATGCTCTACAAGGTCTGTGAAGCCTTTCATTTCACAATGTAATAGGAGACATACAAAGAAGATCCGGGAAACACAACATAACAAAACTCCAGTCATTGCCACTAAATGCCACAAATGTTAATTGTTGGGTGGGATTACAGAGAAATTTAATGACTGTAGGTAGAAGAATAGCATCAAATAATGCATTATTAATGGCAAAGAACTTAATTAGAATTATATGGACTAACAGAAAATAAATTGTCTTTTTACAGGTTATTTCACTGGTAACCACTATGTGGTAACATGCAGTGTCCTTAGTAAATAAAACACTGGGTTACATGGGATGCTGGTCTCATACAGCCGGTAATCCTCTAACAGTAATTACATTATTATGACTAAACAGACTTCTAGGATCTCAAGGAACTTCAAAAGAAGGTCAATCTCATCATCACCTCTTCTCACCATGGAAATCAAGGAATACAACAACAAAGCAAATTGCCCAGGGCCAGCCAAGAGAAAAATCAGAAATAGAATGTAAGAACAAAGCACTCCTGTACATTGTGGACCTCTCAAATTCCTAAGGAGTGCTCTCCACACAAAAAGAGCTAAAAATACAATTTCAGGGTATCACTCATGAAAACATTTGGAACAGTTAGTACAATTTAATCAAATTTTCAAAGAAAAAAACCCAAGAACTTTATTTAAAGATATTGTGTCATCAGAAATTAACCAAAAAACACTTACTTTTACATCTAAGACGTGCAGCTCAACTCTAACACTGCTTTCGTCTTCTGTAAACATCTCAATCCTGTTCACGTGACTGAAGTCTGCCAGAAGAGCCACCAGGTTTGTTTTGGTGTTTATTACATGACTGATGCCATACCGTGGCCCTACTAACAAAGTCACTTCTGAACGCTTTTCTCCCTGCTTTAGCATAAAAAGGAAAAAATAAAATAAAATAAAACCATGATAAGCATTGCATAGCCACTGCCTTCTTTCATTTTCATGAAGCTTCCTTTGCATGACTAAAGATCATCGTATTTTTCTAAGACAAAACATAAAAGAGTACACAATACTGGTAATTAAGTACAAAAAGAAAAGGAATCTGCTCCTGGATATTGACTGTAATGTAGTTTTTAGATGGATAGGATGTTGGATGGATGGATGGATGGATGGATGGATGGAGGGCAGGCATTTCCTGCCATTAATCAAAAGTTTCCGTTATCAACTGTTTTCCAGAGTAACAGCTTAAGTATTCTTCAGTTAACTGGATGGCATTATTAGCCAAATGGATGCTACCTATCTCCAAACCCTCAGTGAAAATTCAAATTACACCAGCAATGTTATTTTCAACATGAAAAAATAAAAATGATCCATTCAATTTAACAACTACTTTTTAAAATGTATGTATAGAACTTCTAAAGAAAATGCTGTGGTCTAGTTTTTGCAAAGAGAAGAAAAAAACATCAGGAGAAGAGAAAGACTATTTCAAGATAAATATTACCACTAGTGTTGCCTTGAAAACACGCCCTCCATATAATCGGAGATCACTGAGGAACTTTAGATAATGCACCTTGGCTTGCAGTGCAGACAGCTGAGGAAGGAGAAACAGTACAGTAAGATGTAGTGGTGGAAACCAACACGTTACCCAGTTTACAAAAATCAAAATGTATTAATGTATTCTAAGGAACTGAAATAAGAGCTCTTCAGAGTCTGAAACCAAACCATCAGATGCTTGAGATTCGGATGAGGAAACAGTTTCGTTCTCAAAATTCAAACTGTGGTTGTTTAGTTCAAATGCATTGAGGACTTGGCTATGGGCTACATCAGGGCACTGCAAAAACATCATCACTGCTCCAATGAAGGGAAAACGTTAAACTACTCAGATTAAACATCTGTTCATTGAGGGATTTCAAGGCCAGTCAACAGCTTTCAATTCATAATCACCACCAGTTCTTAAACATTTATGTACCAATACAGAGAAAGAGATGAAAGAATTTTATTTTGTCAGCTATGTGTATTACATCTTGTTAGGTACTTGCAGCATATGGCATATTATTCCACCTCATTACTGCAACATCCATTTTTAAAAATAAAATTATTCCACTATATTTAGTAGGGAATAAATCTGCAAGCCAAATACAGAACATCAATACATACAATCCCATCATGCATTACATACCATAATTTACCTCCTTTTCTCCTTTTAGCTTAAACTACCTACTTAAAAAGAACAAGCTGGAACATATTTTATGAGACTGAATGGAACCAAGAAATAGTTCATTTCACCCAAACAATCTGGAGCCAGAACTTACATATCCCTTGTGTAAATCTTTACATGTGGACTTTATCGAGCTCATCTCATTTTCTATTCTCTCACCAGCCACTGGATTTCTAGTTCAAAAACTTATTTGATCTCAAACAGCATTTTAAGAGTCCCTAAACTAAGGTTTTTGTAGACTCCAAGGAGGAAATGAATCTGAAGCAGAGAGCCAAGGGGTAATGTGTTCTACTTCCCTTCAGTAAGTGCTCAGTTGGATGGAGAAATACACAGGGCTTGTATAAAAGGGAGAATCCTAAGAGTTACGAGCTGCCCCTCATGCAAAAGAAAACAAGACCCCATAGGCTTGTCCTAGCTAGTACCTACAGGTGAGACAGAAGGTGATGATGAGCTCAGATCTTTGTTTCTGAACCTGCCTGCTAAAAAAAAAAACTGGGTAAGCACACAGTGTATTTCCAAAGAGCATATAAAAAAAGAATAAAGCAAAAATAACAAAGCCTGCAGGAAGGCATTATTGCAACTTCTTTTCTAACGAAGAATCAGCACTGAATGCCACTGCCATCATCCACGATTCCAGCAGCAGTGATGGCTCTCAAAATAAAACCAAACATACAGTATTATGATAAATGAAAAGTAATCGGCATTATTCAGCTTTAACTTCAGCAGTACCAGAGACATACAGTGCCCCATTCAAAAAGATGACTTTTCTCCGTGGGCATTACAGGTCAAACACAAAGATCTCCAAGCAGGATTTCTGCTGATCACAATGACCCTTAGCTCAAGCAGCTGAAGTCTGGGGCTTTTCCCTTTCAAAAACAAAGTCTCATGGAGCAGGACTCAGCTCATTTTGTGTCTCAGTTATTCACTCTTAGGTCCTGTTTATTGTCAATGGAGAGAAATAGGCATTTCTAGGACAAGTAATCTGACCTATTTCTAGTGCCTAATGTGGGATGGGATGAGTTGCTCCCTAACGTGCCTACTTCTCTCTGTTGACTACAAAGAGAGAATAGTTGACTTACATAATGAAACCTCTTTATGGTGTCTAAAACCAGACACCGAGCTATGCCTGCAACAATGATGAGTGCATTTCTCAGAGACACTGTCTTCCACATTTCTTTCCAGCTGAAATGAAAGCTTAGTGCTAAGAAAAGCATTTTACAATAGCAAGGATGGTCAGTTCTATAAGGAACATCATCTATACTGTTAGGCCTTGGACATTAAACATATCTACAGCATAATGGAAAATGACCCTAAAAAAAGCATTTACACTGGCCCATAAGTTAATGCGTTTCAGATCAGAGCAACAGAGAGAGAACAATAACATTCTAACAAGTCTGCCATTAATAGGAAGCCGCACATGAATTAAATATATATATATCTTTATCATACCTGAAGTGTTAATAATCAGTTTTCTGGCATTCTCCAGTTAAGAAGATAGTTTAGTTGGGGTATAATTAATTATTTTTAATTGTTCTTGGCTATGCTGTACTCAGCACTGTAAGTTAAATTGTCTATATTCTCTGAAAATATAATGGCTAGGTGTTTCTCTAAAGGATTAATTTTATAGGTTTCCCATGCATGCCACCCCTTCTGTTCTTTAAAAACATATTTTCCATTAAGATGCAAATGCAATACCTTTTTACCCGGAGGAACTAGGTTTTGATTTGCTTTGACAAGGTGTGAAAGTGCTTTCTTTATGTTCTTTTCTTTCATGCTTTGCAGCACAGCAGATGGAAGAAAAGTCTCTAATCCCCATTCTTTTCTGCAATAAAAGGCATATATTTAATTTCACATTCTTGTGATGATTATTTATCTAAAGACTGGTGACTGTGATTACAAGTGAATGAACTTTTGTAAACAGGAGAGTTAAGTCCAGAGTTTTGCAAAAAAACATTATTTTCTATATTCAAACTATATGTTACTTATGAAGATGATATAAAATGTATTTAATCTCTTTTCTATTACTTCTCTCTCTCCCAGCCTGCCATGAAGAAGTTTACAATCTCTATGTTTAAAATCTAGACTTTGTTAAATCCCAACTAATTATATAGGCAAGTACCATCATAGAATTGTTGTGTGAAAAGTCGTAGAAAAAGTTGTAGAAAAGTTGTAGAAGACTTAACAACAGTGTCATATTTAATTTTATTTTCTAAGGTTCTAGAACATGCAAATCAGTCAATCATTGTTTTTATCACTTTGCCAAATTGACAGCCTGTTCCCCTCCTTTTGCCCAGATTGTTTTTCTACTTGATGCATCCCTTTTGACAGAAGGCTGACTCTTCACTTAGAAGTAGTTTTTGCTGATTCATTAATAGGATACAATATAACAACAGAACAAAAGTTGTTGCTTGTTTTTATCCTAGTAGATATACACAAATCTGCATTTTGGATTTTCTTCTTTCCTTGTAGTTCAATACACATAATGCCTAATCTCACCTACAAAGTCACGAAGATAACATAACACAAATGCTCAATGGATTCTTCTGTATTTAAGAAATCTTTCAAATGGAACCTAACGCCCTACAGTCTTATGAACCAAGAAATCAACTGAATCTACTATAATAATCTACTAAAACCTTTGGATTCGTGCTATATAAACTTAAATCTGACCACTGAAAGTGTGTGAATTAATCTTACTTACATTTATAGCCTATCACACATGCCTAACCATGACTAAATGGTAAAAGTACTGTCCACACTTACAGATCTTAAACCACCAGAATAAATTTCAGTAACGTATAATGAACTTAAAATAGGTGCACTCCCATAGGAATATTAAAGAACCAAACAAAGAATCTATGAACTTCTCCAAACGTTTCACTTTTAAAGATCACACTGTATCCTCAACTTACTCTATATATTTGAGGGAGATTTTCTGAGTTTGCTTGGTGGTCACAGTTGCAATATACATTTGTAGTGCAGCCAACCGCAGGGCAATGTCGTACTTCAGTTCTGGTCCAAATCTTTCCTGAACCACATCATTACAGCTCTGCCAAGGAACCAGTAGAGGGAGCATCAAGTTCAAAAATGTTGCAATAAAATTGTAATCCATTTTCTTAAAATAAGCACTGTGTGAAGATAAACCCTGAACTCAGAAACCAGACCATGCTGAAAGTAGAAGTGCTGCTCTCAGAGATGTCAGATGCTCACCTGGATAAAGGTACTTCTGGGGAATGCGAATTCATCCTTCCTCTGAGGAACTGAGTAATCTTCTTTCATGAGTGTTGGGAGGGTGCTAGGCTATCTGGGCTCAGGATAGTAGAATTCTGTCTGGTGAAATGCCCAGGAGAAGAACCACATTGCTCATACATCAGTTTTCTCATCCATTTTACTGGAAGTCCCTTTTCAGACACTATTTCTGTCTGATATTATAATACCAGAAGTAAGTATAAGCAATTATTTTGGCTTCACTCTTTTCAAAAGCCAAATATATTTTGGAAAGACATCAAAGCATCACTATTTGGCAGGACTTAGAAAGGAAGGGAACTTTGCAGATGATAAAGATTTGTACGTTCCCCAAGTGCATTGGCTTTATGCAGCAAAAATATAACCCAGGGCTTACTGCAGCCACAGTTTTGTATATGAAGATATATATATGTATATACCGAGTACAGTCATCTTTTTAATTCTTTTTGTTAACAATGCCCATGCTTTCTCTTACCTGTACATAAAGATATTCAAAAGCAACTGGATCTCTTCTTAAAAGATCAATGGGATCCTTCGGAACAAAACTAATCCTGAAAAGACATCTCATCTTATGCGAGCTTGGCCTCTGAGTCACCTAGGATAGCAGAATAATTATAACATTGTGTCAATTCTTGATGTGCGATAGCCTGTAGTCATTGGCACTGACCTTCCTTGAAGAGAAACGTGGTAACAAGAAGAATAATTCTGCCCAACAGAAAGCTTTATTATGGGCTCCTTATTAAATATTGCACATCAGAATATCATATATATAATATAATATAATCTCACGGAAAGAATTAGATTTGCATAGGCATGACTGCCTAAAGTAACTCATTCTCAAAACAGTGGAATTCACTTATACAAAGTCAAAGTGAAAAGAGTGGAAAAAACAGACCTTAATGGTAACCATCCCAAGTAAAATACAAAGTGAGGTGAACTTCAGCAGGATCAAAACACCTGTGAACTAGAAGGGTGATAAGGCTTTTGGGGAGAGGTCACATCTTACTTCTCAGACCAATTGGTAACACAGGTAGGCAACGTACAGCCTGGTAGCTATTACTCTCACATTCTCTTGATTGAATCATTGAATGGCTTGGGTTGGAAAGGACCTCCTTTCAGTCAGTATTCATATCTGGGATTGCCTCAAACCAAGTGCAACACCTCATTATATTCTCATGTGACCAGTTTTCAAGAGTGTCCAGATCCCTCTGGATGGTGTCTCTCCCTTCTGTTTTGTCAACTGCACCACTCAGCTTGCTGAGGATATGCTCAATCTCGCTACCTATGTCATTGATAAAGATGCTGAAGAGCACTGGTCCCAAGATGGACTCCCGTGGAACACCGCTTATGATCAGCAACCACCTGGACACAGAACCATTGACAACAGCTCTCTGACACAACCATCCATCTAATTCTTTATTCACTTTATAGTCAACCCTTCAAATCCATCTGCTGCCAATTTCGAGGTAAGGTGTGGGACCACATCAAAAGCCTTGCACAAGTCCAAGTAGATGACATCTGCTGTTCTTCCCTTGTCCATTGATGCTGTCATCCCATCATAGAAGGCCACCAGATTGGTGAGATACTGCCTGTCCTTGGTGAAGCCGTGCTGGCTGTCAACTCCTCAACTTGTATGTGCCTTAACATGTCTTCCTAGGCCTGCAGTTCCCCAGGTCTTCCTTTCTCCCCTTCTTGAAAATGAGAGTGATGCTTCCCTTTTTCTAGTCACCAGGGACTTTGCCTGACAGCCACAACTTTTCAAGTATGATGGAGAGCATCCTGGCAACCATATACACCTGTTCCTTTGGAACCTTGGGATGCACGTCATCTGACTCCATAGACTCATACACATTCAGCTTCTTGAGATGGTTTTGGACTTGTTCTGTTCCTATACTGGTAGGGATTTTGCTCCCCTAAACCCCACTTAGAAGCTTAGGGATATGAAAGGCACGAGAAGCCCAACTGACCATGAAGATGGATGTAAAGAACTTGTTAAGTACCTCAGCCTTCTTCACGTCTGAGGAGGCTCTCTCCCTTTTCATTTATCAGAGTGGGTACAGTCTCATTTGTATGTCTCTTCTGCCCAATGCATCTCAAGAATTCTTGCTGTCTTTCACAGCCCTCACCAAGTTCAGTATGATCTTCACCTTGGCTTTCCTGATCGCATCCCTGCACATCAGGTCAGCATCCCTATATTCTTCCTAGGCCACCCATCTCCACTTCCACTGCTTATACTTTTCATTTTTTCCCTTCAGCGTAAACAGAAGGTTCTTGCTCAGACAGGATGGTTTTCTGCCTCATTTGCCTGATTTCTCATTCTGGGGCATGGAGAGCTCTTGTGCCCTTAGAAAGACATCCTTAAAGTGCTGCCAGCTCTCTTCTGTTCCTTTGTCCCCAAGGTGAGTTTCCCAGGGGATCTCATCCAACAATTTCTTAAACTGCCTGAAGTTTACTCTCCTGCAGTTCAGGATCCTGACTTTACACTTTGTCAGGCCTGTGTTCCTCAAGATCACGAACTCAACCAGGACATGGTTGCTGCAGCCCACTCTGCCTCCAATCTTAACTTCTTTAATGACCTCTTCTGTGTTGTTTTCCCAGCGGATATGTGGCTGGTTGAAATTTCCCATCAGAATGAGAGCCTGTGAGCACAACTGCTTTAATCTGATACAAATTTTGCAAGATACTGTGTCTTTTCAGTTTTCCTGAGTTGTTCTGGATTAAGATACCTACCCTAGAATTCTGACCAAAACAGGTATCTCCCATTACTTAAGAAGGTCAAAAAGACTTTTTTTTCTGTTGGTCAGCACAACTGTTTGCTAAGAATATGATAGTCTGGACATATACACTGGACACCATCAAAGAGCTAATAAATAACTGGATGAAAGAGTAACAGTCCAATAAAACTATTGTGAGCCATGATCAGCAGCAGTGCTATAATAGCAAATTAGAGTATTGCTGACTTTACAGGAACTTTCAAGAAGAAATTAATGTAGTCTATGTAGTTTATTTAATTACGCTAATGTAGTTTGAAAGTTAGAGCACTTTACTATCAGCATCTTTAATTGGTAAGACCATACTTTTAAAATTCTCCAGTGGACAGTCTGTATTGCACTAACAATGTTCAGAATGTATGTTTAGCGCACATTGTCTCTGACCTCATTCCCAAGTATCCAGCCATAGTCTGTATGTATAAATAAAAGCTCAGGATGGGATTTTCAAAAGCTCTTTGTGTTGGTTTATTCTGATCCCTCTGATTTCAATGGGAATTTTACCTGTTACTTCAAAGAGAGACAGATAGGCCATGAGGGCCAGCACTGAGTACTCCTGGATATTGTGCATTCATTGAGTAGCTCGTACCGCAGAAAAAGAATGCTAACATGGCAAAGCTAGATGTTTTTAAATTAGAAAACACTAGAAAGATCATAAGTGGCTGAGCTGACTTCCTGGTATCTCTGCACAGAGTGTGGTTATATGATCAAGGGAATTCTGACATTTAAATTAAAATACTGTTCTCCTTCTCTTTTAAAAAATCCATTTATATTTTTTTTGAAAATTTAGGTGAAAAAGTTA